ATCTTTCTTTCGACCACCAACAAAAATTGGGCGCGAACGACTGTTGAGCAAAACGATGGTTGCAAAGGACCAGAAAAGGAGTTGTTCTTCCAGTCTTTCCAGAACAGAGAACCCCGCCGGGGCGTTTTCGGGGCTTTTGGCGAATGAGAGATTTGAGGCAGCAGCTATCAGCTGCGGCCTCAGCCGTCTCTCCAAACGGGGAAGGAGGACTTTGGTGGCAAGGGATCGAAAGGGATCGAAGGTTTTTGGATTCAGACATTTACCCTCCCACCAACGAACATGGAAGAGCAAAAGGCCCTATCCAAGAGGAAAGTAGTCCTTCTGCAGGGGTCTGTGCACTAACCCATGTGAGTTGGTGGGAGGGTAAACGCATTTGCACATGCTCAGGCTTTGACCCGGGGAACAAGTTGGTGAGCAGCTGAATTTCGGAGGATCCCCACATGTCGTGGTGATTGAGTTCGGTTTTAGCAAAGGGATGTATACTAAACCCCTTCAGTACAATGTTGGTCCCGGGTGTACAGTAAGGCCACCCACGCAGGACTTGTCTGTTGCCTAATGTGTAGGCGCCAAAATGCGCGGGTTTTTCCGACGAGAAATCCTCTTCTGGAACGAGTTCGGAGTTGAGTATCCACCAGATAGAGGTGTTTCATCCAAAAGTGATTCGGAACCCTTTCCCAAATGGGCCACCCCTCCATCAAATCAAGCAGGCTTTTTGAGGTTCATGTTCCCGGGTCGCATGACTTTGTCGGATCTTCAGGTTTTCTCCGCAGGTAGGCACCTGCACCCCTTCTTAGCCTCTCACGAGCCAGCCCGAAAAAGGAATGAGCTGAGGAGCCTGCCTGCGCGGTACGTAGAATCTGGTTCGATAGGCAGGGAATGAGACATGGAATGACACCTAAAAAACCCATTCAACTGGTGGTTTCCTTCAACAGAATTCCCAAACGGTTCATTCCCAACACCCGGGCTCGGTCATTCCCTGCCTATCGCACCAGCAAGTTATGTGGTCCTCATGGCGCTTCCCCAGGAAGAGCGGAAGCAACGCATCGAACCGCGCCTTCGCATGTCAAGCCGTTTGTTCATACCTCGCTTTGGTGTTGGTGAATCTCTATGTAACGAAGGGTATGAAGTTAGTGAGCGAAGGTTAAGGGGGGCTAAGGGAGTCTGAGGGCATCTACTGTACTTCCCAAAAAAGGGATCTATACCCACTGCAAAGTGGATCGGTCACCGCAGAACCAGGGTATGCACAAGGCAGATGTACATCCACTCTCATAGATCCTGATCCAGGAACCATCACCACCCTGAAGCAGTCGTTCTCAAATGGTTAGTGCTCATTCAAATGCCAACTCGGAAGGTGGCTCGTGCAAGGAAACTGGAGCCTGCTGGGCAAGCGATAAAGTGGCTCCGTGCTTGCTGGCGAGTAGTTGACCACTCTCATGCTCAAAGAAAGAATCAGCCAAAAGTGAAACTGGCATTTTCCAGTTCTTATTTTTGGAGAACCAAGGCGGAAAGGCTGGGAAGGGGGTGGATTGCATGAAGTCACCTCCGAGGTAGCTGCCAAAGAACTGCGCGCTGGACAGTGGCGACTGGGCCTGCAAAGTATCGATTCGCCCGGCGGTGCCCACGAACGTGGGGTCCAACGGTCCAACGTACAGTTTCGTGAAAGTAGACAAGTCCCCCTATATTGGTTGAGCCATCCATCCCCCATCCCCTTTGCCCCGGAATTGTGCAATCTACTTCCACACTGAAATTCCATGAATATCTTGGGCCCCATGGGGGATGCTCATATTGTACCCATGATGAATGTTCTTTCCTCGGGGATTCCTTACTTCCAGTTGGTGATTCCTTTTACTGCAGTTTGCGCGGCCCTGGAAATCAGATCCTGGCAACAGTCCTTTGGTGGCCAAGGGAGTTGCCTGCGTGACAAAGCAGTGATAACTCACATGGGTATGCGGAAAGAGGACCCATACCCAATGTACTGGTAAGTTCCGGGTGTGGACATAATTCGGATACATGGATGTGGACAGGTCTTGGGCTGCCACTTTCTGTGATTTGCCAAGGGGATCCTCTTGAAAGTGATATCGTGGTCATGACGATAGGAATCCCACTTGATGATTTCCAAGAACCATGAATGCCAACCTTCAGATGCTTGGCTGTCGAAAGGGTGAAAGGGGCATGATTTCTTGAAGGCTTGTCCGTCGCAAGGAATGTTCCTCTTTAAGTAGCCGCACTACACTCTTCCATGTTTGTTGACAGGGCAGGCTGCTTATCTGCTTGAGACAAGAGCAGATTCCCCTATGATGAGTCCTGGCATTTCCCCCATTTTCCAAATACCTCCAGGGTTCCAATTAAATTTAGCGAGTTTCTCTGAACTTTGGGGTGACCAGCACTTTTGGGTTGCCCCCATTCAGGTTGCCCTCTTGTGAGTCACTTCGCCACTTTTGGCGCGAAGCCCTGGACAAATATCAGCGCTCACGGCGAGGCTTTGCGACTGCTGCATCAGGCCGGGAGAGTGGGGGGCGGAGGGGATGGGCTTTGTGTGGGGCACTGTGGCGCTTTGGATTTGAGGCGCCGAGCGAAGACGACATGCCAGTGAGTGGTTTTCTATTTTATTGTAAATGTGCGGTACTCAAGCCGATCGCCTCCTTTAGCCAAGCGCCCAGTAAAAACACATGATGCTTCCAGGGGCGAGGTATGTGGAGATATGTGATAGGCCCAGCATTCGCTTGTTCTTCCATGTTTGGTCCTGCTCATGCCCCAAAGCACGTTCATTGCGGACTTTGAATGCTAGCAGCTTTCGTGGCGCTCGTAGTTGTCACCACCTGCGATTCTGGAGAAGAGCGGGCCAGGGCACAGGGTACAAGGGATTCCCAAAACTTGCAAGATGTTGGGAATCAACTGCACCCTTGTCCCATGTTCTCGTAAGGAGGAAGTGCCTTGCTTGCCCTTACGACTCACTTGGTTGAATGTGAACTTTTGGATTGGAAGCTATCCATGGAATCCCCCCCTATCATCCCCGTTCCAGCGTGAGATCCATGCATTCGCGAGCGCGATCGCCCAAAGGTGGCTCTGAGGCTCCGAATCTCAAGGCCTCGCCTTTTTGTTCGGGAGGAAAGGAGCCGACACGGGCAGAAGGCGAGAAGCAAAGGGAGCCCTGGAGAAATTGCACGGTTCCGGCCTTTGAGGGATCCAGCTTTTGAGCCTTGGCAACGGTTCCGTCGGGAAAGCCTTGAGGGCCCGCAAAATGGGCGGCTTTCCATTCTCCCCTTTAAACTTTGAGCCAAAAAAGGGTTGCCCAGAAAAAAAGAGGGGAACAAAACACACAACAACACGCACGTTCTTAGTTCTCACCTAGGGCATACGCCCTCGGATGCCTCCGCTGGGCTTTCCCAGCGACCGCGCCGCCGTTTTCGCTCGGCTGGTCGAAAGCGACAGCGCCGCTCTGGGCTCGGCGACGCTGTGGGCGCTGCTGGAGTCGCCTTCCGACGTGGTGGCGCGGCAGGGGAAGCGCCCGGACACGTTCCAAGAGGAGGAGGTGGAGCTGAGGTGGCAGAGGGAGGCGAGTCAGGGTGATTTTCGGCCCAACGCCATGGTGGTGGAAGAATGTAGGTTTTAGGGTGTTGGGGTTCTTCGGATATGTGGATGCGAAACATGGTTGGTATTTGGTCACCACTAGGGAGGTGACAACCGGCAGCAGGGCGTGGAAGAACTCCTATATGGGGATTTGACCGCACCATGTTTGAAGGGAGGCACCTGAAAAGGTGGAACTCTCTGAACGCCATCAACCTGGATTCGATTTCACTTCGGAAGCCGCCCACAGTGAAGGGGCGGGGAGTTTGTTTGACATGCGTCATGTCTGGAAAGCAAAGCTCTGTTGAGACATACCCAAGGGACCGACGCCCTCTGGGAAAGCCAAGCTCTGGTAAGCAAAGCATTCGCTTGACACCGACGCGAGGCAGAGTATTGGTGGGAACCTTTGGGCTGCCCTCTGCTGCACGAGGCGCGGCCGATCAAAAGGGCCATCGCTGCCCAGTTAAGACTCATATTAATGTTGACCTCAGTTTTGGGAAGGCATTTTTTTGGTGGCAAATAAGAAGTTGGACTTTTTTTGGCCATTCCACTCAGGAAGTGAGCAAAGGCGGACCCCTGAACTGCCCGCTTGGCTCCTTTTCCGCTTTGCGAGGTGGGAGCGCGGGGTTTCAGCCCAGCTCCGTTCTCTAGGCCCATGGAAGGGATTTGGACGTTACAAAATGACGCCACGGTTTTCCACTTCCCTTTAACAACCCTCGTATTTTTAAAGACAGGGGGTGTGAGCATATATACGCAAGAAGTGTGCTGTTGCTGCATATTTTTTTGTGGGTGGCAAGTCATGTTGAGTAACAACAGCAAAGAGTTTGTAAACTTTCAAGACAGTTTATAAACCATGTCAAGGGTTTGACGGTTTCCCTGCAACAAGGGCAGGGGGGGGGGGGTCAGAACTCTTTACGGGGGGGGAGGGGGGGGGGGCACTGAGAAGCCTTTACAAAGTTGGCTGAGTCACACCTCACTGCTAAGACTTCCAACCACCCCCCCCTCCCCCCCAAAACTTCCAACCCCCCCCCCATCCTTCAACGATACCATGAACACTTCGTAGGGTGTTGTTGCCTTGATGCGGGAAACTCGTCAAAACCGTCAACAGGCACACCCATATGGTGCGAGTTTGTCGTTTTTTGAGGCCCGGTCGCATTTTGTGTGTGATTTGTTCTCCGAGAACCGTTTTGGGTTCCCATACCTTTTTTTTGGGGGGGGACATCCCAGAATGCTGGTAATCGTTTTAGTTTCCCTAGAAAAGCCAACCGAAAGACACCACCCTTTCCCTTTAAAACCAACCGAAAGACGGTCCCCTGAGAAAAAGCCCACCCCGTACGTGGGGACGAAAAATGGAGCCGCTCGGAGGTCTCCCAGCCCTTCGAGCGGCCGCTCTCCTTCGGCCGCAGCGGCTGCTTCCGGGTCCAGCGCTTCCTACTTGGTACGAGAGGCGCGGGCTAAATCGTTTTGGGGGTTGGGTTTAAAGGCTAGGTCCCCCAGCTAGGTGCCCTTTGTAACCCCTTTTTTTGGGGAGGGTTCCCCTACTAAAATAGAATACAGAAACAAGGGTACCCTTATTCTAACCTCTGTACTGGAGGACCTAGCAGGGAAACCAAAAGGAACACCGGGCGCCGCCCAAAAAAGAATCGGGACAATTGCTGGTCCCAACTGACCATGGGTAGCTTTGTGCTCTTAGTGGGGAAGGTATCTTGGTTTTCCCTAATGGTTTTCCCTAATGGTCATGCCATGTAAAGGAGCTTTTGATCAACCCCCATATGGCTATGCAGTTTAATCAAACCATCCTCGTTTTCCTTTGCAGGTGGATGGAAAACACATTGGGTCAAAACCCTTCTTGCCAGAGTCTTAAGATCATCATGTGAGTTCCTCTTGTTACATCTTGTTGATAAACCCGGTGGGTTGAGAACAAATGTACACTCCCTCAGACAAACAGCCGGAAGCTCCCGCAATCGGCCTCTGTAAATGGAACCAAGCCTTCCACTTCGGGGCTTCCATGGAATCGGCTGGGGCAGGGCACATGATGTTTTTCTCGTGGCTTCCCTTTGCTCGAAGCGCTTTTTGCTTTTTCCCGGCAGGCTTGAAGCTCTGCGCGGAGCTCGCAGAGGTGCGGCGGCGTTTTTTCTTGGTTTTGGAGCGAGGGAGCGAAGCCCAAGCTCAAGACTCTGACCACAAGGTTGTGGGTGGTTGTGGGTGGGGTTGTGTATTGTGTTTGGTTGTATTTGGTTGCTTGCCTCTTGGTTGGTCAGTTGGCTGGCTGCTTGGCCGGGTCGTTGGACCGACCGGGGCAGAAGTTCTCAGGTGTCCAACTCATTTTCCCTTTGGCTCTTCGGGAATCCCAGGTGGCACTGCAGCAGGAGGAGGAGACGGAGGGCCTACAGGTGAGAAGGGAGGGGGGGGTGGCAATCTGGGAGGTGACAGTTTTTGGTTGAAGCAATCAATCTGTGGCCCGGATTTTGGTTGAAACCATTCTTGCATTCTAAGGTCCACTAAATATGGCCCAGAATCAAGCATTTTTTTTGGCTCGGCGCAACAGCTGAGCTAGTTGGTCCCAGGCAAGTTCGGGCGACATTTGGCACGGGCCCGGCCATTCTGGGTTCATTGTAAGTGCAAAGGCGGTCTTGGGACAAGCAGCAACATTGACGTGGTAGGATGGAACTCTGGTAAAGGGTCCCGTTCCTTGTCATTTTGGAGCTCACGCTCTCGGTGTATCAAAACCCATGGTAAAGGAAAGCACCGGCCAATAGGCTTAGCCATGAGCATGAGCTTTCAGGTGCAAGCCACCCGGATTTGGGGGCAGGAGATGCTCTGTTGACCCGTTTTGCGAGGTCCAGACATGGACAGTTTTCCTTGTCCCAAGGATCAACAATTGATCGGTTTTGAAAGGGCCTTCTCTTGATCGATGAAATGGTTGAGTGGGACCTGTGATTCTTTTGCCAGGCTTCAAAAGGAATGTCTTCCAAAACTCTCCCGTGATTGTTGGACAGGTACTTACAAAGACTGGCTACTTAAAACGTGGTAGCCTTGGCCACAACCTACTCATCCCTTTTGCATCAACAGGCAACGTTTGGGTGGGAACACGCTGCCACTTTGAGCGCCCCTTGCAAGAAATCCGTTCCAGGTCTCCAACGTGGGCGGCTTCCACTCGCGTCAGGAGTTGGAAGTTGAGAAGAGCCAACAAGCAGAGCCATGTGGGAGGGACGTGGGTAGCAAAGTTCGTATGTGGTTATTGCTCTTTGTTATGCAACTCCCCAGATCTGCCTTTGTTTCCCAAGAAGGGCTCGGTTTGTTTTCTCATTCGCGCGGGGTTTGCTTGGGAGTGCCAGGTTAAAGGTTGACAAACATCGCAGCTCAAGCAACTTTCCCTCGAGGGGTCCTTTTGGTTTCCAAGCAGCGAAACTGAAGACAACCCCCAAGTAGAGTTCGATCAAAGGTTCCCTCTCATCCCGAAAAAAACTTGCTGCTGCTCATCAGGGCATGAGAAATGACTATAAACCATCCATTTTATGGTTCCCCTGAACCGGTTCATTCCATGTTTCAGTCCCTACCTATCAGACCAGCTAAAAACCCTCCTCGCGTCTTGCGAGGATCTGTTTCGCCGCCCGGGCAACGCCCTCTGCGAGCTCCGAGACCTCGCGGCCTTCTGTGTGGCGTCGAGCGCCGGCCTCGACGCGAAGGACGCGCTTGAGGCGCTGGGGGCAGACCCGGACGGCGGCCCGGCGGGAAGTTTTTTAGAGACTCGTCCCCATAGGTTTCCTTCTTGGTTGATTTGGTTTAAAAATAGAGGGCCCTGGTTTGCCTGGGGGTTCAATCAACTACCAGGGCCATCTACTTTCCCCCAAAAAGGACACCTATGCTCGTCCCACTCATCGGATGTGAACCAGAGGTTGATTTTAGAGATCTTCAGAAACATACGGTGTC